GAAATTAGTTGTAAATCCCTGAAATAAACGTCAAATGTGTAACAGCTTACTGATTTTCATAAATGTATTGTGTGATATTTTATTCATAACATTTTGACGAGATTGTTATTATTTTCGTTTTATGTTTATTTAAATGATAGAAAAGGCAGATTATTATTACATACGTTGTTGTATATATAGAACTTCCGTATCAATATTTGGAAAAGGGACGACATGTGCATGCACCTGTACCATTGTGTGTTGTACCGTACTTGAGCGCGCGTACTTTAGCCAGTATAATTGGTTAACTTTAATAATTTATTGAAAAGTTAATTTGAAAGGTATTATAGCCTCTCCATTTTTATATTAGAATTTTCTTATTCAAATTACTTCAGGAATCCGCCCTTAAAAAATAATGCGCTAGTGGCGGGACACCCTGTATATTATATGTATATATAATCATCTGTACAGAATGTTGCAAAAGAAAAAAAAATATCGCAAAAGAAAAAACAAGTGCCGCATTAAGAATCTAATGGAGAAATTGAACGCGATAACGTTTGATTATCGAGAATTTCCGTTCGACACGGTTCAATATTGACGCACCGACCATTGCGAAATGTGAGAATGAGAACTTCATCGTCGATATGACGTTTCTTATCATATCAGTCAGGCAAAGAGATTCCAGGTAGCGTTCCATTCTTCAATCGTCGCCGTAGACTTCGCGCCTAGTAAGTTAAAAAAGAGGGACAAGAATCATTGCACTTCGGAACGCGGTGCTGAAAGAAAGCACGGCCGATGCGCGAGCTCATTCTGTTGCTCGTATCAACAAAACAATCTCTCACAGTACGTCGATAAAAATAGTGCTCTCCTGTCTGAACGGATGAAGGAGAAATCCTTGAAATTATGCGCCGTGATCTCGCAGCGGAATATTCGCGGATTCGATGTGCAGAAATGTGTCAGGCGAATGCGCCGCGGTATCCTGTGAAAACGATCTTTGTAACTTCACGGCGACGAAATTAGAGTCTCGCCTCGTGCCCGTGAATGAGATTGCAGTTCAACTTTGTCACGAGAGCTCAACATATCGATCACGCAAGGTGAAACCGCGACCAGTCGGATGATCCGCGACGCCGGAGCGATTCATGACGCGGTAGAAAATAGCATGCAGAAAATGCGGCGCATAATTTTCGATATTCTCTCCAATGTCCCTGTGCAAATACAATGAAATAATGCGAGAATTAAAGCTCGCTGCTTTGGGCGCGCGAAACCTTCACACCGATCGGCGCGTGTGTCGCGTGTAATTATCACGCCAAAGAGAGAATCGGCGGCACATGATCGGCGCTCGTCGCGACCGATTATAATGTTATATTAACACGAATCCCCTGTTGCAACGGATTATAACGCGTCGCCTGCCTGCTCTGTACGCGGACGTCGATCTCAATGGACGTGCGCCGGCGTTAACGACAGAATCGCTCGCGGCAATATTTATGCGTGTAATTATCCAAATCACACATCAATTCAGGAGTTCGTAAAATATACACGTCTATAACGAGTGTAAAAAAATATTAATTGGGACCTCAACGGGCGCGCATATTATGTGCGGGTCGCGTTAAAATACGAAACACCACAACGCAATTTTAATTGTTTTGTCTGGCAGGACCGCGATAATTATTATCTTTTGTAAGTTGCTCGAAATTTGTCGCGAACTGTACTAGAGGATGCACTTTGATCGGCGAATGACCATGTGGAAAATCGAAACGACAGCGGTGTGAGCGCACGTGAGAAAGAACTCGTGTAACTGATTTTCCGTTGTCTGTTCTGATTCTTACACGGAAAAAACCAAGTCCATTAGTGTAATTGAATTTTCTGTTGCTTGCGGGGACGAGATAAAAAACTCGATTGTAGAAACAGGAACATTTCTGTACACTGAGAAAAAAGATATGGATATACCACAAATAAATTCTCAAATATTTTTTCCCAGTGTAGGAAGCTTCTACTCAACCTATATTATTCTCAATTATTTCGATCGAGTTTTAATGCAGCTATATGTTCAGACGAATATTCTCGGTCACAGTAGCAGATATATTGTTTCTCGTCAGCGAATTTTTCGTCGCCCACATTCAGTTACACAAAATTTCTTTTCCGTGTGTAGGAGATTTCTGCATACAGAAAAATACACACTGCGTTCAAGTGAATGTTATTCGTCTCGAGTATTTTCTATGAGTTCATACATGTCAATACAGATATATATATATATATATATATATATATATATATATATAGATATGAATAATATAGATATATATATAAATATATATATAGATAATATAGATATATATAGAAAATATAGATATATATACCCAAGTAGGAATTTACTACTGATATCAAAGTGGCCCAGTACAGATTTATGGTAAACGTTACTGGCATAGTAGCAGATGCCAGAACGGGTTTAGTATTGGTGTGATACTGGGATGATAGAAAAGGGCCAGTATCAGAAAACAGTACTGTCATAGTATCGAAAATCAGTACTGTACCAGTATAAAAAATATATGGATTCCTAGCACTATTGGGGAAATACCTATTCCCAGTACTAGGTCAGTATTGATTCCTAATACCAATAGTATAACTTTTTTAATACTGGGTCAGTACCGAAAACGACAAACACTTTTCGGTAACGCCCCAGTACACGTACGGTACGATTATCCAGTACCTAACCTTAGTACAGAACTAGTACCAATAATACAGTTTTTTTATATTAGGTCCAGTATTGAGTTAGTACCAAATCTGGACATCCGCTTTTCGGTATCGACCCAGTATCGGGCCATTTTTCCGTACTGGCGGAACGTATACGATTCCTACTTGGGTATCTATCTATATCTATCGTAAGTTCATCACAAGTGTCACGTTTGTTCACCTTTACCAACTTTCTTTACTGTGAACTCTGGTAAGTTCGGCATCTCGGTCAAGAATGTATGAAATTAAAATGAAAATTTGATTTGCTCACTTTATATAGAGTCGAGGCAACCTTCTTCTCGGTAAAGTTTCGCAATATTCTTGTAAAGAGAATAAATTCTTCTCTCGAGTGCATGATAATGAGCTTACTTCAAATTTGCGACGAGTACGTTTTAAGACTATCATCAAATCTTCGTTGAAGATAACCATTATTTGGAAGCAAACTGAGTAACTTTCTTAGCAACAGAACAATATTTTCTTATGAGTATGCAGTTAATCGTTCTCAGTTATCTTAAGTGAGTCACATAACGCAGCCGAACATTCCAATAATTATTTTCGGTCGCGATAACAGAGACATCGTTTCTACTCACCGAGTTTTCATATGATTCTCATTCTGTTACACGAACCGAAATTTTTTCCGTGCACAAGCAACGAGCCTCGTTGGGAACATATTCGAAAAATCTGCCGGTACTTTTGTGCAGTAATTGTTTTCGCGTTTACTTTAATCGCACTTTTGTTCTCCACCTCTACCTCCAGCGTTTTTCGTGTTTTCTTGTTTTTTTCTTCTTCTTTTCGACGCGGTTAATCCGGCGAAAAACAGAGTTTTTGCATTAACCTACCGGTCCGTATGACAAAACCGCGGAGTTAAAAAGTAAATTGGATTCTACTTTTACCTCGTTAAAGTGTAAGCCGAAGGTGAAGGGACCATTTCGGTACTCGAGTTAAGGTCGATGGCCCGAAGTTATAGAGTCGTTTATTCGCGGTATGGAAACGCCACTGCCACTTCCATTGACGATCACGAAACACGAGGCGAATCATTATGTCACAGAGGAGTTTCGCTCGCACGCAATCTAACCCAGAAATGGCATTTCGAAATAGCTGCGTCGCATAAAGCGCTCATTAACGTGCGAGCTAAAATTTCATACGGCTAACTAACAAATAGCTCTCCACTCGCGAAACTTCCGTCGCGTCTCGCTTAACTTCGTCGAACGTCGTTCATACACTCTCCCACCTGATCGCGCATTCGTCATCAACAATCAAACGCCACTTCCGCCGTAATAGAAAAGAACACGGGTATTCACATTCAGTGTCTTACATTTAGCATAAGTTATTTCTGATTTATTCGTCTCGTGTCACAGCCGTTTTAACCTTGCACACGCGAATCAAATCAGACAAAATATATTTAACTCCAAATATGATCGGCAAAAACGTTAGCCTGTATTTTTGTCGATATTTAAATATTTCAACTTGTAGCTGGGATTTATTTAAAAATTCCTCGTTATGAGCATGTTCAAGCACTCAGACATTTGTTTCGCCGGCGTGCAAACTATATCACATTTTCTCTCCCGCTATTTTATGCGCACACATATTAATAGTGCTTCTAATGCATCAACACACACATGAACACACGAGCACACACATATATACATCTCTGAATGAATTTTAAATGGATTTATATTACGTTTGCAGGTGTCTCTCTATAATGAATTTAGGTCGCAAAAATAGACCGGCTGAAAATACTTCGATAATAATGACCTTTAAATAGAGCGTGTTATTTTTACGATATAACAACATGGCGTATCTCGATAACGTATCATACCAATGTATGGGCGTTGATCGATGAGGATCTTCTTCGACCGAAACAATCGGCAAGTCAGTAATCGAAATAATCAGTCATCATATGACAAGAATCACAAATAATTACGTACGACGATATTAATGATTAAAATCGAATTCTAATGTACGATGTAACTCTGCACCGATTAATATTAATTAATTTGATCAGTTGCTTAAATTACTGCTGACTCTTGTTACGTGACGGTCGATTAATTCTAATGACAGTTTCGCGGATTATATTAGTTCAATGACAACCTTTTCATCCGTTAATGCTCAACACTGTCCCGAGCAAGTGCTCTCTTCGAACGGCCGCGCATCACGTGCACCAATTATGGACCGAAATTCTATTTCGGTACTCGATTTGCTCTCTCCACCACTTGTTAATCGCGCGTCGACCGAAGATCGCGTCGCGAAAACAGAGCCGAGACATTCGCACCGTCGGAGTGCTGGCTTACCTGCACGAAAATCGGCCGGCATGACGGCGCAGCTTGGCTGACCCGCGAAGTCACAACACCACAGAGCACAAATGTGTGTGTCCCGACGCTGGAACTTCCGATTATAGACGGCCGGGACGACCGGAGGAACCACCACTAGCGGAGAGAAAGAGAGAGAGACCCGCACACTCCGTCTGGCAGCCTCCTTATGAACGAGAGTCCCGAACGTAAGTCCCCGCGTCTATCTCGCGGGGGACACGTGGCCACTCTTCGCGATGTAACGCGCGCGACTTACACGCGCGCGTAACCGCGCTCTCTACCTCGGTTTCTCGCTGTGGTCGCCGCTGTGCTCACGCGCGCACACACACGTCAAAGTCAGGTGGGGATGCTAATTTCAGAAAAGCAGACTCTCGCGCGGGAAATAGCGGCGCTACCGTATATCGCCGTGTTGTTTGTATCGCGCCTCGTGTGTCTGCCGCCAGGAAGAAGTCCGCCGAAGTCGCTTGCGATCGTCCCGCTTTCACGGAACGTGTGTACCCTCGGCCGTGCTGCTCTCCTGTAAGGACGTCTCGCCGTGGCACGATCCGAAGCGAGCTTCTAGCTCGCGTCAACGCGATGTGACTCCAAACAAACAATCGCACCGCGATGAGACACCGCAATGAGAGGTGATCGCGCCTCGACCTCCGTGATTCGATTTGTGCAAATGTCTCTTCCAGGAATGTGGACCGCCGACTCGTGGATGATACTAATTTTGGAACGGGGAATTTATAGGCGCGTCTCGCGACAAGTGGCATTCTGGACCAGCGCTATTTTTATATGCCGCTGCCGCGCAATATGAACACGTCGAAACCGTTCCGATTTTCAAGGTCCAATTGTACGTAGAGAATTGTCAGCGTGCGTTTTTCGCTTCTATATATACGACAGGTGGAAATATTCTCGGGTCTGACATTTCGCGACACGTCGGTGCGCTCTCGTTAGTCGAATGGGATTTATCAGCGAGCGAGTCAGACATTCGTCCCGAAAGTAATTTCGCTCTCGAGGAGTCGCTTCGTACGAGAGCGCGTACGCACTTCGCTGTGCGCGTGCACTCGCATTAGAGGGGGGCGTGACAGAGGAGTGAAGCACAGAACTCATTAAAACGTCGTATCGAATTTATTTAATTCGGAGCCGCATCTCCCATTGCAGTTCGGGAACTCGTACACACTGCTGCGCGCTACACACGACGCTCGTGTAATGCCGAAATTCGATCTTACGCTCCCCACTGTCGTCATTCGCGCGCAAACGAACCCCGCGTAGACCGAAATCTACCGCGCATTTTCGCGCGCTTGGGTTCTCAAAGTTATTGTTACCTACGCGCTGTGGAGTACGGGCTGGGGAAGGGGGAGGGGAGAGAGGGGAGGCGGCGGGTTCTATCTTATATTTACATATACACTAAGCCGCGAATGTAATTGCAATCGGGTACACGTGTAGACGCTCGCTCGCTCGCACGCACGCACAGACACACACCGAGCACAATTAAAACTTTAGCGCACGCGCGCGACGGCGATGGAGGTAATTTCCTGAATTCGTCGGGACTAATTCCGTTATTTCGAATTTCGTCGCAGCAGGGATAAGAGAGGGCCGCTCCGCGTTATGCTCCGCGAGAGCAGCCACCTCGCAACGTCGGCCTTAACGAGCTGCATCGCGTACATGCGCGATATAACGGTGGGCGAATTTAGTAGAACGCGCGGACCGGCCGAGGGTCTGTAACCCATAAATTCGCTAATAATTAATAAAAAGCGCGGCGAGATGCAGCTGCAGCGGCGAGATGCAGCTGCAGCGGCGCATAATGCATGTGAGATTTTTTTTTCGCGCGCTTCGCGCTACAAAAAGAGCAAGTGAATAGGAAGCGGGATAAATCCGCGGTGCCTGTGTGTGCGCGAGACGTACGTTCGTATATGCATGTTTAACACCGCTAACGTCGCTCGCGCGATCGCAACCGCGGGAAACTCGCGGTACAGTTTCCTCGCGACTGCAGAAGCAGCACAAGTAAAGGATAGCGGCGAGGGAACGCGGGGAGAAAGAAGGAATAATGTTGCGATTAAAAGCGGAGATTTAACCAATCGGGGGGAGGGGG